CATTCTCACCAGCCACACGGGTTTAAAGGCCTCAACATGATCACAATATGGGGGGTACGTGGGGTAGTGCGTATAGCACTGTAAACTAACATTCGATCTCTTTATATACTTTTATACATCCACACAATTAAATATATAATATAATTTCTAATCTTATATAAACCTCAACCAATAAAGCATTCCATAAACTCCCTCATTTAAATTCATCAATTATATCCTAAACCCACAATATCCATTTAGCTCAACAACGCTCAAGACCTATCACTAAGGTCATTCTAACCCTCAAAGAAAGGTAAGACTATCTCGGAAGTCTCACGGTCAACCTAGGGTCAAACGGGCCCGCGGGGCCCACAACCTCCAAATTCCAATCTGACAGTTTCTATAGGTTCTACAAGGTCTAGGACACACGTCCTGCAAGTTTGGTCCAGATTGGACGGTCGGATAGCTCACGATCGCACGATCGGACGGTCATTAAAACTCTAACCCTAGGATTGGCATTTTCGGAGTATCCGGGACTCCGTTTTACGATCCGTCAAATCCTACACGATCCCGGTAATACCTAGATCAACATATTATAACTTCAGGATCATCCAACGGTCCAAACCTAGCGAACCCGGAAAATACGCGATATACGATATCTGTTCAGAACTCTAACGGTATCCAAAATGAGATCCGAGCACACCTATGCGCTCGTCACATCGAGAGGATCACAGTGGGACAAAAATGCCCCTCAGCTACAGTGCCCACGCGCCGCCACACGCGCCGGCAGCGCGTGGGTGTCTAAAGCGATATCGCATCGCTGGAAAACTTCCAAATCGTGAGCCAAGACTCCTACCCTAGGTAATACACCTAATTTGGAGTCACTTTTGTTCTTGGGCATACCCCAAAAATTAACCGGAGGTGGCCGGAATCGCGATCGCAAAACCGGCCGAACCCTAAATCGAAAATCGGATGATCTACACTTAAAATCGATGCAAACCTACCCAACCATCAGCTAGAGCTCGGAAAATAGGTGAGAAACCATACCTCACTTGCCGGAATCGGTGGCCGGACGACGGAGAACGAAGTCGGCGAAGTTTCGGGCGAAACCGAGTTGTTTTCTTCGATTTTCCGGCGAAATCCCGGCGGCTGGCGGCGAGACCTGGGTAAAGAAAAACAAACAAAAAATTGAATCTTGTCAATCCTTATGTAGATGCAGTAACGTTAAATACATTGAAGTTTGACCTGATATTAATTTATGGATAAATCCCAGATCGCATTGAGTTTGTTGAGGGGGGACACTCAGCACTGGTTCTTGTTCAGTTTTTTCTTTGTGAAAGCTTGGACCTTGGCGAATATAAGCTCCAGTACGGCTTGTATTTTGCATTAGCATGGCTCCTTCTGTATAATTAATACTAGTCCAATTCCATTTTTAGTCACTTTATAATTGAATTTCACCAAGTTCTCCTGCTCAAGTTTAACTTTCAAGTGCTATAGCTTTGAAAAACCAAGTATATGGTAAATGTTCTTCGCTGTTTTTGCTACATGGTGGAATGGATAAAGCAGTTGGTATATTTTCATCTTTTGTGCAGTGGTCAACATGGGTTTGTGGTTGCAATTACGGGCATAGAAAACATTGGGAAGGGGTTGATTCGCGATGGGACAAGGTTTGTCACATTCGCTATGAAGTACCAGTGTGTTGTTTTCAGACCATTCAAATGAGAGATCTTAGAAGCTGTTGTTACTATGGTGAACAAGGTATGCTTTCCTTTTTTTCCTATCAAGGTGATGGCATCAATATTTTTACTTTGTTTTTTCAAGCACTTGTATTCTTTATACTAAATGCGGAAAATATGTAACGACATCTGAATTCTCATAGATGGGATTTTTTGCTGAGACTGGGCCTGTTCAAATCTTTGTTTCAAACTGTGTAAGTATCCGCCCTTGTTTATTCTGAGCAGTGATAAGCTGTTATCCATGTCTTGTTATAAAATTTTGTATTGTATGAAGTCATAAGCTTTGGCAAGGACTAAGGCGGGTTGCATTGTTGCTATTATGTGTGTTTCTCTTTGCCTTATATTTTCCCCCCATCCTTCAAAAGAACCATTTCTACTTAACTTTTTTAATAAAGTGCTACCTCTAAAGAATCATATACTTTCGGCCGTTAAAACACAGACCTCACGAATGTGAACGTCGAAGTTGAGGAATCGGAGGGTCCAGTAGATGAGGGCAGTGGTGACCATGAGATCGGGGTAGAGGGTGCCGTCGATGATTCGGGCGAGGGGTTACCAGCTCTCGGAGTCGAACTAGTTCCAGAAGTCGTAGAAGCCCTTCTTGGTCAAGTAGAGGGTAGTGCGGTAATTGAAATAGGGATCGAACTCGTGGATCATGGACTCATAGCGAAGGACGTTGAAAAGGCGCGTAATGAAGGCGAGGATGTAGACTAAGCAGAGGATGGGGACTCGGATCAGGAGCTCCTGTTGCTTGGTTTTGAGTTTTAGGGTTTTGAATGAGAGGTTGTTGATGAGATCTAGTTTCAACCCTGACATGGAGGTGGCCGGGGACGAAGACGGGCCTTTCTTCGCTGTGGCTGTGCCATTGACCGGCTCAGGTTTTCTGACCTTGTTTTCTTTGAGAATTGAGGAAGAAGAGGAAAATGAGTTATGGATTTGGGGGTTTTGGTTTTTAGAGTTTGGGATTTGTCATTTAGATTGGGTCTATAAGAGTATGCTAAGACTGAGACACCACTCCATTAAGCAAACACTAGACAGGGAAATGTGGACATTGATCTGCGAACTATATAGATAGATTCATAGATTCATAGAATGTATGACTTGGAGGCCTCTCATTGTTGAGAGAGAGAGAGAGAGAGAGAGAGAGAGAGAGAGAGTAGACATTTAGACTTTTTAATGGGCCATCTCTTGCCTCAAACTGGTCTTTCCTTGTTTCTTTTTTCCTTTTGTTGGGCCAGCCTCTCACCCCATATGCTGCTTTTCAATTACATGCCTTGCTAGCTAGCTTTCTTTTTTCTTTTTCTTTTTTTCAATTTTAATTGAAGCAAAATAATATCCCTTCTCTTTTTTCTAGAGAAAATACAACCCTTCTTTGTTTTAATTAATTTATGACATATTTACTAAGCTAGAAGGGATTGTTCCTGATTTTTGCTGTGTTTACTAAAATCAAGAGGATTGAAACTATTTTGAAGTAAAAAAAATCTATATAAAATTCATAATCAAATACTTCGAAAACCATACACATTCATTATCTCAGCATTTTATAAAATTACAGTTGTGCCCAATGTGAAACTAGGAAAATAAAAGAAACCTTAAAATCAAAAGGCCAGGCTATAATGCGGGGTAAGTTATAAGGGGGTGTTTGTGCTGGGTTCCCTTAAGAGACGTCCGATCGATCAAACAATATACGTTTGGCATTCTCTTTATGCTACAACCAGGTTGTAATTACCCGTTTTTAAGAACCAAAGGGTTTTGTCATCCACGTGCCCACTCCACTCTATAGCCACCCACGCGCCCCTTTGAAGGCTCCAAGAAACTTAATCAAATTCTCCTCTTGCAGTTATCTCCTTTTTTTTTTTGGGCAGTGCATCTCCTCTTCTTCCAGCCATGCTACCCACCCTTCCTCCTTCTCTCTCCCTTCGTCTCTCTCTTTGACATTTTAAGTTTCAGATCTAACACTCCCTCTTTGTTATCGGTTGCTTGTATCTCTATTTCACTCCCTCTATGCTGCCCTTAGCCTGTTGTAGCCAGTGGTGGATCAGGATTCTCGGTCCAAGGGGTCATAGGGTAAAAGTGTTAAATTTTTGTTTAAAAAAAAACTAAAAAGCATAAAGATCGAACATTTATTTAATTCTCCAAAAATTAGGAACGTATACGAAAATTAAAATAATATATTTATTAATTTTTATAAATTACTATTGTACTAACATATTAGTTAAATATTTCACTGGGTATAGGCTAAAAGGTTTTATTAAAAAACATTTGGGCCAAACTTTTTAAAAAGACCTACAAGTTATTAATAAACATTTGGGCCATACTTATACGTGGCCCAGACTTTTTGGAAAACCCTACAACTAGTGAAGCGGTGAGTTTCAACTAAAATGAGGCATAAGCTAGGGCAAATCACCAACTCTTCACGACATCATCTTCTTCGCTGCCTCTGCAACCCAAACAAAATTCAAGTCGTGGTGCTGCCAGAGCAGAGCAGCTGCGTCTGGAAGAAGTTTAGAGAGCAGCGCAAGGCAAGCCTACAGGGGACTTTCATAGAGCACCTTGCACACAAGGGGTCGCTCAGATAACGGCCAAGCTGTCCTGCAACCGGTCCCTCTTTCTCTCTCTCTCTCTCTCTCTCTTAGCTGAGCAACAGTCGGCGATTGCCACTGCCTCCCTGAAGCTGTCAAAGAAGATGTTTTTCCATATAGTGTTGGAAAGAAACATGCAGCTTCATCCTCGTCACTTTGGCCGCAATCTCCGTGAAAATCTAGTGGCCAAGCTCATGAAAGATGTTGAAGGCACTTGCAGGTTCCCCCTCCTCCTCCTCTTCTTCTTCTTCTTATTAAATATAATATAACCCTTGCGATTTTCTTTTCCTTTTTTTTTTGGTTGTCTTGTAGCCCTGCGAAATTTAAATCCGAGGAAAGCTTAAACCATTCGATTCTCTTTCTTCTTTTCACTTTATTTGCTACATGCTTATTTAGGAACGGAAACCCTTATCTGTTCGATTATGCTCTAAACATGGGTAAACAAAAACAAACTAAAAACTGAATCTTGTCAGTCCTTATGCAGACGCAGTAACGTTAAATACATTGAAGTTTGACCCGATATTAATTTATAGATAAATCCCAGATTACATTGAGTTTGTTGAGGGGGGACACTCAGCACTGGTTCTTGTTCAGTTTTGTCTTTGTGAAAGCTTGGACCTTGGCCAATATAAGCTCCAGTACGGCTTGTATTTTGCATTAGCATGGCTCCTTCTGTATAATTAATACTAGTCCAATTCCATTTTTAGTCACTTTATAATTGAATTTCACCAAGTTCTCCTGCTCAAGTTTAACTTTCAAGTGCTATAGCTTTGAAAAACCAAGTATATGGTAATGTTCTTCGCTGGTTTTGCTACACGGTGGGATGGATAAAGCAGTTGGTATATTTTCATCTTTTGTGCAGTGGTCAACATGGGTTTGTGGTTGCAATTACGGGCATAGAAAACATTGGGAAGGGCCTGATTCGCGATGGGACAGGGTTTGTCACATTCCCTGTGAAGTACCAGTGTGTTGTTTTCAGACCATTCAAAGGAGAGATCTTAGAAGCTGTTGTTACTATGGTGAACAAGGTATGCTTTCCTCTTTTACCTATCAAGGTGATGGCAACAATATTCTTACTTTGTTTTTTCAAGCACTTGTATTCTTTATACTAAATGCGGAAAATATGTAATGGCATCTGAATTCTTATAGATGGGATTTTTTGCTGAGGCTGGTCCTGTTCAAATCTTTGTTTCAAACCATGTAAGTATCTGCCATTGTTTATTCTGAGCAGTGATAAGCTTTTATCCATATCTTGTTAGAAAATTTTGTATTGTATGAATTTATAAGCTTTGGCAAGGACTAAGGCGGGTTGCATTGTTGCTATTGTGTGTGTTTCTCTTTGCCTTCTATCCTCCCCCCTTCCTTCAAAAGAACCATTTCTACTCAAGTTTTTTAATAAAGTGCCACATCTAAAGAATCATATACTTTTGGCCTTTAGGTTAGTAAATGTTGCTTCTTTCTTTATAACATAGTCATTATTTTGTCTTAACATTGTCAATGTTATATCCTAATTATATATAAGCAGTAGTCTACTAGTCATATATATGAGAAATTTTTTATGTAAGTTGAAGTTCAATGAGAGTTTAACTTTTTCAACTTCTTTAACTTATACTATAGGTTACTGGTTTTTGGAGTTTGAAGTGCTCCTCTCTTGTAGCTTCTGAGTCATGGATTCAAATATCATATTATAATGGTTATATCTTACATATAGAGTATATGTTAACGTCCTCATCTTGTGTTGTAGTTGATACCGGATGATATGGAGTTCCAATCTGGAGATATGCCAAATTATACAACATCAGATGGATCAGTATGCCTCAGTTTCACCTGATTCTCTAAAGAGTAGTTGTTTCTTTTCTAGCTTAGTTTATATGGTTAAATTGATCTTTTGTTATTTTGTAGGTTAAAATTCAGAAAGATAGCGAAGTTCGGTTAAAGATAATTGGAACCCGAGTGGATGCTACTGAAATTGTATGCAGTCACTCTGTTTTCTTTTCACTTAGTGATTCTTTAATTTGTCTTTGCTGTTTCCATTTTCCGTGTGCTGTCCATGTGATTTGGAAAATGGAGTAAAGTCATCCAAGGAATGGTCCTTTTAATTGTTCCTCGATTAATCAGTGCCATGTTTTGAATTTTCAACTCTAAATCAAACTGAACGGTGGAGTGATGGGATGATCATATCCTGGATTTCCATGAATCTCTTACTTGTTTGATCCTGGTTAGCTGCTATAGTCAGTTTTTGACAAAAGGCAATTTGGATTCATTTTGTTTGCTTCTGATACTAGTTCTCCCTCTGTTTTGCAGTTCTGCATTGGTACAATAAAGGATGATTTCTTGGGTGTGATAAACGATCCTGCGACTGCTTAGTGAAGTTGGGAGTTCTGCATGCATGATGGGCTTTTGCCTGTTTTCCTTGTGGTTCTGTTGAATAGCTCAGTAGCGTGGATGTTTTGTTTTTAACTGGGGAAGCTTTTACACATGCTTGTAATCCTATCCTACATTTCCATGAGTGTAATATAATAATTCGGCCCTTATATTTTCATCTTATTTCTCCTCACAACATTCTTATCTCATTTGTACGTTTCTCGTTTTGTTGGTCTGATTTGTGTTCTAAAGGATGAACTATGACAGAAGATATAAGTTCTCAACTTATTTGTTAAATGTGTAATCTTGGTGGGCTTCATGTTTGTTAAATCCTGATTATTTGTTAAATGTGTATTCATTCTGGTTTGGAGCTGAGAAAATCGAAAGGGGATAAAATTGCTTTCCCTCCGCCTCCTGCATTTTGTTCTGGCTCCGGATCCTGCAAGTCACTTGAGTCGCTTTTTAGTCTGCGGGCTAGTAGCATCATCTGCAATAGTGCCATATTTAACATTGTCCTCAAGAGCTTCAACTGTTGAACAAACTCTGCCATCCTTACACTTGAAGTGGCATAATCAAGTTATCAGAGTAGTTTGTACAATTTGTGTGATGTTTATGTGAATCTTGCGCTAACATATCCGTATTTTCTGAGCTTTATTGTTAGTCTGACTCTGCATTTAGTAACTTAATGCTAACGTAATGAATTTGCAGCTTATTGGCGTTCCTGATCAAGCTGAAAAAGATGAGGTTGTTAAATCAGTGATGGATTTGAAAAGTGCTGAAATTGAAGAAGGTTACACCATGGATGACTTTAAAGTTTTTTTATTATATGTTGTAGATATACCAGGTGGAAAGAGCTTTCTGCTAGGTTGTTTAATTTCATCTTTAAATTATTTCTCTTGTGGGCTGCTTTGCAGGGTCTTTTAATGGATGTGAGAGATAAGCTTCTTTTTGAACCAGAATATGCTGGTAATATTAAGGAAAAGATCCCACCTAAATCTTCCCTACGAATCCCTTGGGCTTGGTTGCCAGGTGCTCTTTGCCTTCTTCAAGAGGTACAGATTTGTCTTTGTACAATCTACTTAGTCTAACATAGATTTTTGTGGCTTAGTGTTTACCCTTCAGCCTTTCAGGCTCTTTTTTTCTTCTTTGAAGAAAAATAAATATTGTTAAACACTAATTTAAGAGGGATTGAATACTTTACAGAATTTGATTGCTACAGTTTGTCGTGAAACTCATTTTTTCACCCATACTTTTCGTTGTGGATTCCTCTTGTAGATACACATTGCCTAATTGCATTTATTAAGCGTGTAACATTATCTTATTCGTAATATTTTAGAATGGTTTTTCTTGTTTAATTTTTTTAAAAAAAGGGAGAGGGGATTTTGTTTTGGAAGGTGGGTTATAATGATATTGGATTTCTTCATTCTAGGTTAGAGAAGTTAAGCTTGTGCAAGATATTGGTCGTGTAGCTGTTCAGCATCCAGATGCTAAGCTGTGTGTTCATGATCTTCTTCTTTCTATGGCACTAGCAGAAGTAAGGCATATCAGCAAAGAGGTCAGGATATTGTACTGTCCGTTTTGGAAAGAGTCCCAACCCCCCCACCCCACACACACACACGCGCACACACACACACACACACTCGACTCAGCATCGTAAATTCTCACAGTTAGCTGTCACTGCTACCATCTTTATCTTTTGTCTGTATATGGGTGGCAACTGATTATCTGACCAATCAAACAGGAAAGTGGAACTGAGAAGCCTATTGTTGCTTTTATTGCTGGACTAACTGCTCCTCCTGGCCTTCGTATGGGTCATGCTGGAGGTATATGATTCATTACTCTCTCTCTTTCTCTCATTGTCTATGGTTGAGTGTGGTTTCATGTCATTCTCATAGCATGATAATCACACACGTCATTGGTGGCATCTGCTTGTGCAGCTATTGTGTCAGGGGGGAAGGGTACAGCACAAGACAAAATCAAGACCCTTAGGGAAGCTGGGGTGACAGTGGTGGAGTCTCCAGCAAAAATAGGGGTTGCGATGCTTGACGTCTTCAAACAGAGGGGCCTTGTGAATTAGCTTGGACAATAGCTGTTCATTTGCAGTCACCTGCCTATAATGTTTTATGGCAAGATGCCCAAAACATGTTTATCTCCAATTCTTCACTGATTATAACTGTGGTAGAGCATTTGAGTGCCCAGAGTTTCCCCTGCCGTTTGCCACATTGGGTGGTGTTTGGGGATCCATTAATTTGTTTATGAGATTGTTTTCATACATGATGAAGTGATTTTGAAGGGTGTCCAGGATACAAATATAATCTCTTGCAATAGAGCTGAGGGCATGGTTGACAGATTATGCACGTTTTTTACTTGTAAGTTTAAAGCTGAATACGGAGCCAACAGCAATTTTGTAACAATCTGATTAGAGCCCCAAAAAAGGGGGGCAGCGGGTGTGCAGCGATGGATGCGCTGCCTGCACTTAAAAAACCATACCATACACACTATGGCTTCTCTCTAGTTTTGTTGATTTATCAAATGATGCCCTCCCTACCGTTAAAATTTATATTATCAAATGATTGCTACCGTTAAACGTTAAATTATCAAATAAAATAAAAAGATAATAAGAATAAAGTTGGGGTCTTTCTCTGCTTCCCGCCTTCCTTCTGAAGTCAACAAAAACCCTACAAATCAATATCAAATAATAGTCGGAGGAACAGAGACAGAAAAAGAGAAAAGTCCGGAGGAATCAAAATGGCGCGAACCTCGTCATCGAAGAAGAAGCGCAAAGACGAAGAGGATCCAAACCCAGAGGTTATTAGAAGTCAGTACTTGCATGTCTGAATAAGTTAGAATTGCTACTTGTTTTTAACTGGTAACTGATTCAGTTAAGACTCAGAACTAAGTAATAGTTGGCTGAGAATGAGGCAAAAGAACTGCAAAGCTGATATTTCGTGGAAACTTGTACTCTGAAAGTTGCATCTCATAAGGCAGAAGAACTACATAATTTTATTCCTGTATCTTTTGGGTTGATTGAAATAGCATGTCTTCATTGTATTCATACTAATTACTCTATGCTTGCAACTCCTCTCTTCGTGTGCTTTTATACTTTGTGTACATAATGTTTCAGAGCTATTGTTTCATAAAACTTCCACCAAGAATCTTCCTCTTGTTCTTCTTACAGAGTGTGGTAACGCCATTTTGCAGCCCCTTTCCAAAAAATCCACATCTTTTGTTTTGTTTCTATGGCCATGTGCTTGTTATATGAAACTGAGTTTCTCAAAGCATTTTTTACACATATATATATATCTCAGCATTAGCTTTCATGTCCCAGATCGTGTTTTCCGATGCTTGGTGGATTGGGACACAAGCAGAGAACCCCGAAGAAGCCCAACTTGATTTCCCTAAGGAACTTACTGAGGTTAGTTTCTGTTCATGTAAGTCCGTCGTGTTGATAAAATGTACATATCATTTTTTGATGATCCACTCTCAGGAATTTGTTGGTTTCAGGGATAACACGCAGAATATGACTTTAAAGGTGGTGCAGGTTCAACATCTGCAAACAAGCAAAGTGATCGTAAAAATGAAACATATGTAGAACATTCCCCAAATGTTAAGGTTGAAGATAATGTATCAGATGATGGAAACAAGGATTTGATGAGAGCAACACCTGTTCGACATTCAGCGAGAACTGCCGGAAAACGATTGTACTGGCCTGAACATTTTATTGCATTCACTAGATTCTGTCATAAGAGATCAGAAGCTGGGGGAATTAAGTACACACATCCTAAATATGCAAAGTAGGTACATATATACGTACACATATATGTACAGGAACATACAAACACACACACCCACACAATGCACCTTACAGGTGCTGAGGCCATCTCTGAATGATAATATTGGAAACAAAATATATATTTTTCATTTGTGCTGCATTACCATATTTGCCTTTTCAGACCTATCTGATATACCTATGAGTAAGTAGTTCTTATCATCCAAAAGAAAAAGGGGAAAAAAATAGATGAAACATATTGCAAATAGTTACAAAGGGCACTGATGCTCATTGTCCATTCTGACGTCACTTATTGAAGGCCTGAATGCACTCATTGCTTTTCAGCAGATGAATTGTTATGTGGAAATGTCGTGTAGCCTCTACGGATATTAAATATGTAGTTAGATCTTTATATGGCCTAAAACAAGCTCTTAAGCAATGACATGAGAAATTTGACAAGGTAATTCTAGATTATAATTTTAAGTTTAATTGTCATGATAAATGCGTTTATTATAAAAAGATAATAACAGAGAACATGTAATCTTGTGCCCATATGTTGATGACATTTCGATTTTTGGGACGAATTTAGAGATTTGTGAATGATGTGAAGTCATATTTATCAAGGAATTTTGACATGAAAGATATGAGAGAAGCACGTATAATCTTAGGAATGAAAATCGAGAAGACAACACAAGGAATTTCTCTAAGTTAATCTAGTACTATTGAGAACATGTTGAAGAAGTTCAATTACTTTGAGTGTAAGCCCACATCAACACCTTATGATCCCAATGTTCATTTAAAGAAAAATCAAGGTGAACTGTTTTCTCAGCTGAAGTACTCCCAGATGATAGGTTATTTGTTGTACATTGCAAATAAGATTAGGTTAGACATTGCTTATGCTGTTGGAAGATTAAGTAGGTATACACATAACCGGAGCAAGGAACATTGGAATGCTTTGGAAAGAGTTTTCAAGTACCTAAGAGGAACAATGTATTATTCACTGTGCTATAAAGGATGTCCAACTGTAGTAGAGGGATATAATAATGTATATTGGATAACAGACAATGAAGAAGTGAAGTTTACTAGTGGTTACATTTTCCTATTAGATGGAGCTGCAATTTCATGTGGTTCTAAGAAGCAAACAATTATTCCTAGAAGTACTATAGAGTCTGAACTCATAGCTTTGGATATTACTTGCTCTAATGGCTGAATGGATTAAGAGTTTATTGATGGATATGCCTCTGGTGGAGAAACTATTGCCTGCGTTATCTATTCATTGTGACTACAAGGCTACAATAGCCTTAGTGAAACAATCTCATACAAATAGGAAAATGAACAGGCACATACATGTGAGACATAAATCTATGAAGAGCCTATTAAGTAAGAACATCGTGTCTTTGGAGTATGTGAAGTCGGAGAATAATATTGCTGACCAATTGACTAAAGGTCTTTCTAGGAACAGAGTCCTAGAAATGTCGAGGGGGATGGGCTTAAGCCCATAAGGGAGTCACCTAGGGAGGTAACCTAACTTCTGTGATTGGCGATCCCATGAAGCAAGTTCAATGGGTAGAAACAATCCATACTACGTGACTCATTGAGCACTATTGATATAATGTGGAGGCATCCTAGAGATGTCCTCATGCTCATCCCTATGACATTAGTGCTATATAATGTGACGTTTGGAAGGGAGTTATCCCTGAATGAGTTTCAAGGCGGCAATCTCCCGTAGGGTGCAGGTCACATGTACTCTTGGAGAACTAACCTAAGTGAGAGACGTCGTGAGGCCGCGACTGTAAGAATTGAGATATTCTCTAGTAATTCTCATGAGAATCGAGATTAGGGCATGACCATAAATAGCGGTACCCGCTTCCAAGTTTCAACCAATACTATGTGTGGGATATGTTTAAGTTTGGTCACAGATGCCGAGTTCAATACTGTGTACACTCAGGTTCCCCAAATGAAAACTATCATCACTAAGTGAAGGTTCAAGCCCGAAAAGCACCTACACCTATTGCATAGTATTATGTTGCCCATATGTATATTTTCTTTTCTATTGCTATTGTAAAATTTTAAAACCCTTTGTGAGGGATTGTCATTATTTGAAAGGTTTTTAAAATTTGACATTTTGATTTTGTTTTAATATTTTGGCTATTTTCTTTTATTTATTATGGTAGTTACAATTGTTTAAATTTTCAGTTTTTATTTTTTATTCATTGCCTAAATTTTCTGGTTTAATGTGTCTGGAGGTTACGAGTGTTGGATACCTATAAAAGGCCACTCATCCATCACATTTGAACATACCACAATCAGATTTCTCTATTCTTGTACTTTCATATATTCCCTAATTTCCATATTATTATTGGGCAACGGTTTTGTGGCTTGGAGATTTCTATCCGACTGTGAATGTGCTCATAGCAGACCTTTAGCCCGCCTATTGAGGTTGTATCTTGGAGTCTTATAGACCTCATTACTTGCACGTAGGGAGGCTAAAGACTTTAAGATAGCATCTTTAACATGCTTTCACTATACCATGCTTGCTTTGTTACTATTTACTTATTTTATTTATTTATTTATTTATTTTTACTTTACTGTTAAAGCTTCATTTTATATATTATTTATATCTAAATGTTTGAATAAGAGTTTTACAGAAAAGGATAACACAATTTTTAATTACAAGAGTTTTTTTAAAAAAGGAAAAACACAATTTTTAATAACACACATCTGCTTATGAACACTCGCAAGGTGTTCGTGGGGACTTTTGACATAACATGGATTCGTCATCCATTGGAAATTTATAGAGTTTCCTCCTAGAATGGATTTATTATCCAAATAAAATTTTGGGGTTTCTCACTCAATAATGTATTTCATATCAAATGATATTTCAGGTTGCTCACCCATGACAGATTTTGCTTTTTCATTTTATTTTTCCTTGTTCACTAGGCAGAGCATTGGGATTCGCTCGGCAAAGCATTGAGGTGGTGAGCTGAAATAGCTCATGCTTTTGAGATGACAACTTCATTGATTTGGAGTCCTTGGGGTGCTCTAGTACTATTAGAGCAGGATTTCTTTCATGAAGAAATGCCTCCACAGGTTCTTAACTGAAGTTTGCACGCTTCCTTGATTGAAAAGAACCCCGAACTACGTCTCCAAAAACGAACGAGGGAAATGGGAAGAGTACCTGCAAAAGCCACTCCGACGCTCAAAACAAACGTTGATTGCTACATCTTCCAATCACTTAGAAATACTTGCTCTCCATGAAGCCAATCGTGAATGTGTTTGGTTAAGGTCAGTGATCCATCACATCTGGAGCACATGTGTAATACCCTAAAAAAAAAAAAAAAAAGTGGACTTTCGTATTTCAGTGAAATAATAATAATAATAATAATAATAATAATAATAATAGGGTGAAGAATAATTATGGGTATTTTATCAAGTGATTTTGGATTGAGATTATTGGATCAAGTGTGTTTAATTTCAATTTGGACAAGAATGTCCTTACGCAACATTTTGTGAATTTTTCAAAGGACATTTAAGAAATTGAGGTGAGACCATTATGATTCTTAGGTAGTATGATACTAGTCGAC